ATCCACCCTAACCTGCACATCCCTGGGCACTATGGGACAATTTAGCATGGCCAATCCCACCCTAACCTGCACATCCCTGGGCACTATGGGACAATTTAGCCATGGCCAATCCACCCTAACCTGCACATCCCTGGGCACTATGGGACAATTTCCCATGGCTAATCCAACTAGCCTGCACATCTTTGGACTGTGGGAGGAAACTGGAGCACCCGAAGGCAACCCACGCAGCTACGGGGAGAATGTGCAAACTCCACACAGACAGTCGTCCAAGGATGGAATCAAACCCAGGCCCCTGACACTGTGAGGCAGCAGTGCTAACCACTGAGCCACCATGTCATCTCCATATAGATGAGAGTAGAGCGGTTAATGCAGTCTACATGGACTTTGGTAAGGCATTTGATAAGGTCTGACATGGCAGACTGGTTACAAAGATAAGAGCCCATGGGTTCTAGGACATTTTGGTAAATTGAATTCAAACTTGGCTTTGTAGCAGGAAGTGATGGTTGAAGGTTGTTTTTGTGGCCAGAAACCTGTGTGCAATGGTGTACCACAGGTATCGGAGATGGATCCCTTGCTGTTTGTTGTGTCCAGTAATGATCTAGACATGGATGTAAGAGGTATGATTACAGATGGCATTAAAATTGATGATGTGGTAAACAGTAAGGAGGAAAGCCACTAAAAGTCGCTATAAACGGGCTGGTCTGATGGGCTGGCCAAATTCCGGAATTGAATCCTGAAAAGTGTGAGGTGTTGTATTTTGGGAGGACTAACAAGATAAGGGAGTATAGATTGAATGGTAGGACCTTAGGAAGTAGAGAGGGTCAGAGAGACCTTGGTGTTCATGTTCATAGATCGTTGAAGGCAGCAGAACAGGTAGATAAGGTGATTAAGAAGGCATATGGCATACTTCTTTGGCATACTACTTTGGCATTCTCTGAAGAAGTGTCTAGACCCGAAACATCAGCTTTCCTGCTCCTATGATGCTGATTGGCCTGCTGTGTTCATCCAGCTCTACACCTTGTTATCTAGACCCGAAACGTCAGCCTTCCTGCTCCTCTGATGCTGCTTGGCCTGCTGTGTTCATCCAGCTCTACACCTTGTTATATGGCATACTTACCTTTATTAGTCAAGACATTGAATACAAGAGCAGGGAGATGATGCTGGAGCTGTGTATAACGTTAGTTAGACCAGAGCTGGAGTATGGTGTGCAGTTCTGGTTACCACACTACAGGCAGGATGTGATTGTACTGGAGAGGGTGCAGAGGAGATTCACCAGGACGTTGCCTGGGCTGGAGCATTTCAGCGATGAAGTGAGGCTGGATAAGCTCGCATTTTTATCTATAGCACAGAGGAGGTTGAGGGGGGACCTGATTGATATGTACAAAATTATGACAGGCATAGTTAAGGTAGATACAGGGTTCTTGAGGTGCAGAGGTAGTGGCCCTACCTCTGGGCTAGGATATCTGGGTTCAAATCCCGTCAGCTTCAGGACTGTGTAATAACATCTCTGAACAGGATGATTAGGAAAATATTGAAGTAAGGTAGACAGGAAGAAGCATTTACCCTTAATCAAGGGATTGGGACACAGTCTTAAGATAAGGAGCAGGTTTAGAGGGGGATTTGAGGAAGCAGTTTTTTGCTCGGAGGATGGTAGGTATCTGGAACTTACTGCCTGAGGCAGAAACCCTCATAACATTGAAGAACTATTTAGGTAAACGCTTGAAATGCTATAGTGTACAAGGCTATGGGCCAAGTGTTGAAAAATGGGATTGGAATAGATGGATGTTTGATGACTGGCATGGACACAATGGGCCGAAGGGCCTCTTTCTGTGCTGTAAATATTGTATGACTCTATCTGTGAATCTAAGCTCCCCTCCAAGCCACTGACCATCCTGACTCGGAAATACATCGCTGTTCCTTCAGTGTCGCTGGGTCAAAATCCTGGAATTCCCTCCCTAAGGGCATTGTGGGTCAACCTACAGCACATGGACTGCAGCGGATCAAGAAGGCAGCTCACCCCCACCTTCTCAAGGGGGCAATTATGGACGGGCAATAAATGCTGGGCCTAGCCAGCGCTGCCCACATTGCATGAAGGAAAACAAAAATGCCACTCAGCATGGGTTCGAACCTGGACCTGCCCACTGAGCAGAGGTGAGCACTGTTTTATCAAAGGACACAGTTTGCACAGAAAGGACATTTTCTTGAGGGGAGGGGGTGTGGCAGAGAAGGGCTACATGTTATTTCTCATGTCGCTGACATCACACACAAACAACGTGGGATTCTTTGAACAATTTGGGTGTTTGAAAACAAAAGGAAAAATAATGGCTTTGTTCCTAAAGAAAGGAAAAGAAAGCATTGTCCCTTGAACTGCTTGCCAGACACAGCAATAATAACCTCTTTTAAAATAGCCTCATAAACAAAACTCTCTGTTGATTTGAAGCAGTATCTCTCATCGTGGTGGGTGATAAGATACAGGAATGTTGAGGAGAAAGCAAGATCTGGCTGCACATTTGCGTTATGCTTGCCAGCTATTGCAGTCATCATCAAAAATATGTCAGAGAAACTTGCTCATGACATTCGCCAGGAGAATGCGGTCGAAATCATTTATCCTCCGATGCTCGACTCCATGTCCCCAGCACTTATGAAGGGGCATTCATTAGTCACTCATCTTCATTAAAAAGCTGGGAGAGTTCCATTGGTGGCAATTGGCACCTAGTGCCATAGTCAACGTGTCACTGTCTGCAGGCGAACTTGTCGGTGAGCGCTGACATGTTCTTTCTTATTGGCTACAGTCGCATTCATCTGAGTATCACAACAGGGCTCAGGGTGCTTTTGACAGATGAGGCCTGGAACCCATACTAATGCTAACATTGACAAACTAATTCCATTGTGTTGAAGAGAGCTAAGCTGGAGATCTCTAGAGCCTTACATGCTCATGTCCCAGTTCCAGGTGATCCGACATCATCCGACATAGAAACTGGGAGCAGGATTTGCCAATTGGCCCTTCGAGTCTGCTCTGTCATTCAATCCCATCGTGGCTGATCCTCTATCTCGATGCCGAATACCCGCTTTCGCCCCATATTGCTTCATACCTTTAGAATCTAAATAATTATCTATCTCTTTCTTTGGTGACTTGGTCTACACAACCTACTGTGGTGGAAACATGGGAGGGTGGTTGTGAGATACTGTGGCTTTAAGAGGTGTATTTTGTTCTGTTTTATTTTGAAGAGAGGATTTGAGCCAGAGGTGAGAGCTGTCTCTTCCAGGCCAATAAACGGATTGTGAGGCCTTGGGCTTTTTTTTTAAAGTTGGGACAATAGAAGCAGCATAAATGAGTGGAGTCAGGCCCCCATAGAAACCCCCATAGGGGTTTTCAGTTGTTGGTCATTTGGACCTGATTGTGGAAGCTGTCTCTGTGTATCTTTCTCTCTGCTACAGTTAAAAACTTGGATTCTCTCTCAGCTGCCAGAATCGCACGTGAGACAATCTGTTTTACTGACTTTGCCTTTGCCAAGGGTATGTTTATGGGATGTTACTATACTGGAACAGTTGCTGTTTAGTAGTTAAATAATCTATTATTCCATTAGATTTCCCAATAGAGTTGAATTTGGACCAACTCTTCTTTCTTTTGTTAGTATTTCAACTGCAGGATAAGAATAAAGTCTGTTTTGCTTAGAGCCGAGTAGCGTAACCAATTGAATCACGTCTGGAAAACGGCACCTTATACTTCCCTTTAAAGAAGATAAAAGTTAGGGTCTAGGCTATCTCCTTGATATATTTGAAGGGGGTTTAGTCTCGTCCATAGCAGTAGTTGAGGGGCAAAACCTCATAAAAAGTACTTGGGTGGATACTTGAAATATCAGAACATTCAAAGTGACGGGCCTAGTGCAGGAAAATGGAACAATGTAGATTCAGTAGCCTTGATGGTACAGACTCGATTGGCCAAAGAGCCTCTTCTGTACTGGAGGATTCTATGATTCTGAGAATTCTGATGATGCACCCTAGCTAGTAGCATAACAACTATTAACCCCTTATGCTATAGTATCCAGGTACAATTAGTTAACCAGTCTAGCAATCGAACCTGTGATCTCCCTGTCCTGCTTAACTCAGTGGCAGACAAGGCAATGTTCTTACTAACAGAGCCTGTCAAGGATTCGGAGCTCCAGGACATCTCTACAGGAGTTCCTCAGGGTAGTGTCCCAGGCCCAACCATCTTCAGCTGCTTCATCAATGACCTTCCCTCCATCATAAGGTCAGAAGTGGGGATGTTCACTGATGATTGCACAATGTTCAGCACCATTCGTGACTCCTCAGATACTGAAGCAGTCTGTGTGGAATGCAGCAAGAACTGGCCAACATGTAGGGACTGCTAATGGTAATGTCACTGGCTTAGTAATCCACCATCCCACATTCTGTAGATGTGGGTTTAGATCCCACCAAGGCATGTGGTAAAACTTAAGTTCTATTTTTTCAAAAATCTGAAATTAAACACGAGGCTAATGAATATGTAATCACTGTCGATTGTCAGAACAGCCCATCTGGTTCACTTTAAGGAAGGAAATTTGCTGTCCTTGCCTGGTTTTGCTGACATGTAACTCCAGATAGGGTCAATATGCAGTTACCTTGCATGTCACTAGGCTGTAGCAGGCTGCTACAATGTCATAGAACCCCTACATTATGAAAACAGGCCATTCACCCCAATGGGTCCACACCAACTCTCTGAAGAGCACCCCAGCCAATCGCTGTAACCCTGCATTTCCTGTGTCTAACTCACCTAGTCAGCATATCCCTGGAGACTATGGGGCAATTTAGCACGGCCAATCCACCCTAACCTGCACATCTTTGGACTGTGTTAGGAAACCAGAGCACCCAGTGGAAACCCACGCAGACACGGGGAGAATGTGCAAACTCCACACAGACAGTTGCCCGAGGGTGGAATCAAACCCGGGTCCCTGGCGCTGTGAAGCAGCAGTGCTAACCACTGAGACACCGTGCCACCCTAAATGCCTGAAGCCAGGAAAGAAACTGAATTGACCATCAGGTATTGACCAGATATGACAAGACAAACTCATCCCTGTTGACTCTGCAAGGTACTCCTTATCAATATCTGAGGGTTAGTGCCAGAATAGGGAGAGCTGTCTCACAGACTAGTTAAACAACAGCCTGACACAGTCATACTCACAGAATCATACCTTACAGACAAAGTCCCAGACACCACCATCACCATCCCTGGATATGTCCTGTCCCACCGGTAGGACAGACCCAGCAGAGGGGGCGGCACAGTGGGATACAGTCAGGATGGCATTATCCTGGGAGTCCTCAACATTGACTGTGGACTCAATGACGTCTTGTTGCTTCAGGTTAAACATGGGCAAGGAAACCTCCTGCTGATTATCACATACCGTCCTCCCTCAGCTGGTGAATCAGTCTCTCCTCAATGTTGAACAACACTTACAGGAAGCGAGATAACAAGGTGTAGAGCGGGATGAACACAGCAGGCCAAGCAGCATCAGAGAAGCAGGAAAGCTGACGTTTCGGGTCTAGACCTTTCTTCAGAAATGGGGG